GCCGGCCCGGCACCCGCGTGGCTAGTGCCCCCTCCTGGCGGGCAGCTGCGGTGCATTGTAGTTGCATTGCATGTTCTGGCGGTAACCATGCAATGTTTCCACAGTGCATCCCAGAGGCCTGTCTGGCCCTCGGACAGCCGCCCCAGTGCATCCCAGAGGCCTGTCTGGGCCTCAGACACCCGCCCCAGTGCATCCCAGAGGCCTGTCTGGCCCTCGGACACCCGCCCCAGTGCATCCCAGAGGCCTGTCTGGGCCTCGGACAGCCGCCCCAGTGCATCCCAGAGGCCTGTCTGGGCCTCAGACAGCCACCCCAGTGCATCCCAGAGGCCTGTCTGGGCCTCGGACAGCCGTCCCAGACGCTGACCCAGGACCCTCGCCCTGGGTGGGCATCCTGGTTAGAGGGCACTGTTGCCACTATTGGGTCCCCAGGGCCAGCCAGACCGGAGGGCAGCGACAGGGGTAGGAGTAAGCATTGTCCGCTCTGCTGAGCTCCAGATAAGAAGGACAAGGAGTGACCCAGAGTACCAGGCTCTGAGAGCCCGGGTCTGGGCACAAAGGCTGAGTGGGCCTGGATGGTGTGGAGGGCCCAGGGTGTGCCAGTCTGACAGTGGGCGTGTCGGGCCAAGCAGAGGCTGGTAGGTGTCCTTGTGGCCTTCCCCAGCAAGTCTCCCAGAGATAACCCCATCACCTGTGTCCAGGGAGCACGGAGTTGAGAGCTGGCCTGCAGCTGTTGTGCTCATAAGCAGCCAGAAGCCAGCATGGCAGAGGGGTGGCAAAGCTTCCTCCATGGGCCACTGCCTTGAGGCGAGGCCAGGAAGGACTGAGGTGGCGAGCTGGGAGCTCCTGTCTCCTCCCTACTTGGCCTGTGCATGGGGGGCAAGTGGGCAGCCTGACGCAGTTGCTGAATCCTGTCCCACTTACACGCGGATCCATCGTGTGGATAAGGAAACCGGCTCAGGGGACAGGCTGCATGCCAGGGTTCCACACCTACTGCTGTGCCCACTGCAGAGCAGGACCAGGACAGAGTTCAGGTCACCGTCAGCCCCGCAGCCGAGCACCGCGCCACATGCGCCTCTACCATCCCATGCCTCTGCTCCTCACAAGGGAGGCTACGGGTTCTCTGGTGTCTCTGCCTCGGGCCTGGGAGGCCTCCCAGGAAGTGGGGAACCCGGCCTTCAGAGCGCATGATCGGCCCCATTCCCACCCTGCCGAGCTGGCCATGCTGCCATTGCCTGGTGCCTGCTCCCTGGCAGGCATTTCCCAGGCTCCAGGCTCCAGGCCCCTGCCTTCCTCCTAGGGCTGCCACGCGTGGGCTGGGGCGGGCCTGCCAGGACTGGGACCCTTTTCCTAGGGCCAGCTCATCACCTGTCCCCATCCTATGACTTGCCCAGGTGTTCCAGCTGCTCACCTGCGACCTGCTACTGTCACTGCGGACGACCCTCTGGCAGAAGCAGGCCAGTGCTAGCCAGGCCCTGGGTGAGACCTACCATGCATCAGGCACCGAACTGGCAGGCTTCCAGCGGGACCTGGGCAGCCTGCGCCGGCTGGCACACAACTTCCGGCCAGCCTACCGCAAGGTGAGGCCCAGAGCCCAGCAGGTGCTCATGGACTTGGCCCATCAGGAACCTAGTTTAGGCCTGCCACTGCAGCATGACATGGCCAGGCTCTGGGTTGTCTCGGGTACAGTGGGGACTGGCATCCAGCACAGAGCAAGGCAGGGAGCTCAGGGAATGCTCACTGGGGCGTGGGGAGGGAGGACCTGGGACTGGACTGCGTCCTCCTGTGCTGCCCCAGGTGTTTCTGCATGAAGCCACTGTGCGCCTGATGGCTGGGGCCAGCCCTACCCGCACGCACCAGCTGCTGGAGCACAGCCTGCGACGCCGCAGTCCCCAGGGCACCAAGCACGGTGAGTGTACCTGGTCATCCTGGTGGGAGTCGAGCACCAACAAACATTAGTGGAGAGGCTGGTGGTGCCATACAGGAGCAGGCACCACAGAACAGCCAGCAGCTACGGCTAGGTTCACCTTCCATGGTACCCACCATGGGATGGGTGTGGAGAGTCAGTGAGCCCACAGGAAGCCCTGGGCATGACCCACCTCCTGCCAGCTCTCCTCCACTCATGCCCACGTCTTCACTCCTGTAGGAGACGTGGATACCTGGCCAGGCCAACGAGAACGGGCCACCGCCATCCTGCTGGCCTGCCGTCACCTGCCCCTCTCCTTCCTCTCCTCCCCGGGCCAGCGGGCAGTACTATTGGCTGAGGCTGCCCGCACCCTGGAAAAAGTGGGCGACCGACGCTCCTACACCGACTGCCAGCAAATGATTGTCAAGCTGGGCGGGGGCACTGCCATCGCCGCCTCCTGACCGCCCGGCCCGGCTACCACCCTCCATCTCCATGTCCACCCCTCCCGAGTGCCCCACCTGTCCCTGTTCCCCCCCCCCCCATGCCGAGGGCTGCAGGGACGGGCCTCCCACTTGGAGCCGTCAGCACCCAAGGCCTTCGGGTCATGTCAGGCCAGTGTGCCCCGGGCATTGCTGCTGTCCACAACTTCCCACGAGGTAGGAACTGGGCATCCTATGGGGAAGCAGGTAGTGGCCCAGACTGCCTCAGAAAACCCATCCCCTGTCGCTCCCTGCGATGGAGGGCAGGGGTCTCCATGCCCGCCATGCCCCTCCCCATTTTATATAAAGGTTTTTATATCTAGTGCGTGCTTGGGCAAAGTGGCTGCAATGGCTCATTTCTCCAACACACATGCACCTGGGTGCGCCATGCCTTGTCCTCTCAGTCTCATGGACGGCAGGCAAGCTGGGGGAGACGGGGCAGGCCCGAGGATGGATGAAATTGTGTTGGCATTATTTTTTAATTTTTTTAATAAACGGTATATTATTTAATTGTCCTGTTCCTTCCCATGTCCCCTCCCACCCTTGGGCTATTGGCCCCAGCTCAGGGTGGGCTCGGGCGAGGAAGGGGGAAGCCACCGCTGGGACAGGAGCCTCCAGACTGCCCCCAGCGCCTACCTCCATGGGTGTGTCAGACCTGAAAGCTAGCCAGTGTGGCCGGGACCAGTGCCTCCTTGAGGTGGGCCCTGGGCAGTGACCTGCAGCTCCCCTGGGACAGGAGGCCCAGGGCAGACTGGGGGTGCACGACTCAGAGGCCCCTGTGATGGGGCATGCAGACCGGGCTACCCTCATCCCACAATTTTTTTTTTTTTTTTTTTTGCTCCTGTGCCTGTCCCCTGCGGGGCCGTGTTGTGTGTGTGTGAGTGTACTTGCCTTTTCTCGCTATTGTATGGGGGTGGGGGCGGGTTTTTCACAGAAACAGGCTACACCTGTGGCTTCCTCAATGTCACCTCACCATGTCCCAGACAGGTTTCTCAATAAACAGATTGCAACCACCCAGCACACGGTGTGTGTGAGGGTCTGTATTGTGACTGCTGTGGGGACAGACCAGGTATGGGGGGCAGTTCCCACTCCCGGGGCCTGCAGAGAGGCCCCCCTCCCTTAGTGCCTGCCATGTGCATGTAGCCAGGCAAGGGGCTGGGACGAAAGGGCAGCAGGCGGCCAAGGCCCCGGCATGGTGCTGGCTGCATGCTTTGGGACGTGGGCTGTAGACCCCTAAGTGGATACTGCCCAGCTGGGTCACCCTTCAGCCTCTCCTTCCTCATGTGCAGAAGGGGGTTGCTGGTGCCTGTCTTGAACTAAACAGGTGGCCGTTGACAGCAGGTGCACTTGGAGAGGCTGGCAGGAGGCTTTGCTCCAGAAGCTAGGGGGCGTGGCCACAAGTCAGGAGGCGGAGACCCAGGCCTGGTCAGAGGCAGAGTAAGCAGTGAGCCTGGACCCCCATCCTTCCCACCTGGCCACCTTCACTGCAGTTGGACCTGTCCAATCATGGCAGCATCTCTTGTGATGGCCACAATACATGACCCAGCTTGGCTCAAGTGAGACAGAGGCCGAGGGCTCTTGGGCCCAAGGACCAAGAGAGGGGTCATGCCCATCTGCTGCACACCCATAGAGGGCCTGCGTCATCAGGGCAGGTGGGTGTGGGTGGCCTGTGTGCCCAGGAGCCTGATGCTTTGTCTCAGCAGGCTCTGTGACTCAGCACCCACCCCCCTCCCCCGGCTCTCCACAGCTGTAGGAAAGGGCCAGGGTCCCCACCCCCACCTCCCTGCCAGGTCCTGGTTCCTCAGTAGCCTTCAAGAAGAGGTGGGGGTTGGGGAGGGGGAATCCAACAGGTGAGAATTTGGGGGGTGCCCAAGGCAGCCAGGCCATCAGTAGGGGACAGAACCTGGTGACAGGGACCCTCCTGAGAAGACACACCCCCACAGGGCTATGAGCAGAGACAGCTGTAACCAGCACACAGAAGGGAGCCAGGCACCCTGAGCAAGGTCATGCTGCCACCCCCAGGTGCCTGGGCAGGGTCACACACAGCCCCATGCAGTACCTGGCTGAGGGGAGCCTGTGGGAGCCTGTGGAAGACGCACACAGGTGGCTAGCCTGGGCTGCCATCAGATGCCGAGGGTCCTAGCAGGATGTGTGGCTGCGAGGGGCACCACCAGGGCCTGTGCTCCATCTCCCCACATTGCCTTTCACCCCAGGAACATCTCCTGGGTGCTCCCCTACTCCTGAGCACCAGATGTCTGCAGGACCCACACTCCTGGGTGGAGAGGCTGGGCAAGCAGCCTGCAGGCCCGGCGCCAGGCCATGGCCAACCTGTCCCTGGGATCTTGCCAGGTTCCACTGACTGCCGACGGGCTGGGGCACGGGCCCCCCCACAGGGCCTTGGACCAACAGCCCTGACCCTCCCGAGCCTCGCCTCACTGCTCCCTGCCGAGGCCCCCACCGGTGTGGGCACCAGCCTCTTCTGGCTCCTATTCCTGGCCTCCAGCCCGGGAGAGTCCTCCACTCCCGGCATGCTGTGCCTCTGCCTGCATGACCGTCTGTCCACCCGGTGACCAAGCCGCCACCAGGGTCTCTTCCAAGCCAAGCCGAGGCTCCTTTATTTAAGGGGCGGGAACTTTGTCCCAGGGTTTATTTACACGAGGTGCCGGGCCTGGCAGCTCCACAGCCACAGCCACGGGCGTGTCCGTTCCCGGCCTTGCAGACTCCAAGGCCCCCGGTCCAGTACGGGCAGACGGCGGGGCCGGCCAGCCCCGGACCAGGCGCATGCCGGCTCGGGCGACACCTCCCGAGGACATCCAGAGGCCCTTCACACGGTGACCTCAGATTTGCTGTTGGTGCTCAGGTGCCTCGGGCCGCGGCTCACACCTCTGTAAAGGCCAGGAGGCTCCGGGCCCAAGGCTTCGGGCAGCTTCTCCACGCTGAAGTGGCGCCGAGGAGCATGGCCCGGCCGCCGGGCCGCGGAGGACGCCTGCACCGCCAGGTGGCTGCGCGGACAGGGCCGGGCACGGCCCGCGGTCCAGGCCACGTAGGGACCCGAGGGAGCCGGGACGACAGGGGGCGCGTAGCCCGGTGGTGCCCAGGGGCAGGCGTCCAGCCGAGCGGGCAGGTCCTCGGGTGGCCGCGGAGCCCGCACGGGAAGCGTCCGCGGAGCCTGCTCCGGTGCGGGAAAACGCTGGGAGAAGTCCTGCGAGGTGGTCTCTGTGGGGACAGCACCAGGGGGGTCAGCAAGCAGGCAGCGGGGAAGTCAAGGGGCCGGGTCAGGCTATATAATCCGAGCTCGGATTAGCCAGGCCTCGTGGGAAGGGGGAACTTGCTTGTCCCTCCCTCCGCCCCCGTAAGCACCGGCCAGACCACCCACCTGCGACCTTGGCATATTTGGCGTAGTCCAGCTGCAGCCGGGGGCCGCGTGGGGGCCCCGGGGTAGTGGACCCCAGGGGTGCGTTGTTGAGGCGGTTCTTGTCTGCAGGATGAGGAGGGGCGGTGGTGAGAGGAGCCTGGCCTTGCACAGTCCCCTCCCCAGCTGCGGGGAGGGAGCTGGGCTCTCCTGGCCAGACTGAGCTCGGTCCACCTTCAGAAGTCCCAGCACCCGGCACAAACCCTGTGGCCCATAACAGCCAGCTCCGAGGGGTGCCGCGGAGCCTGCCTGCGTGCACCAGGGCCACCAGGACCATTCCCCACAGGGGTGGGAGCAGTGGCTCCCACCCGAACTCAGATCCCAGAGAAAGGCGGCTGCAAACCCTGCCCCGGCAACCCAGTGGGCTCAGCGACCCCGGGAATGTCCCCAAAGGGGTCCATGTCAAAGGAGCAACCAGCTGGCTGCTCACTACCACCCACACCTACAGGGGCAGGCGCTGCAGAGCCTCAGCAGCAGAGGGGCCAACTCCTACCCTCATGGTGCCCCTCCCGCCTCTGCGGCAGATCAGCAGGTGCCCACCTGTGCTGTCGTGGGCAGAACTCCGGGGAAGGCTGTCCGCCATCTGCACCTGGACACAGCTCCCCAGAGGCGGGCCCAGGGGTGGAGGCAGTGGCTCCTGGGGACCCGGCTGCTTCAGTAGTTCTGTCAGTGTCCTGTGGGGACAGAGTGGCGAGGGCAGCCCGCTCCAGCTCTCTGTGGACCTTTGGAAAGCGCCTGGGTGACCCACCTCACCCCTGCCCCATTAGCCTCACTCGCCTGCACCCCACACCAGCCATGTGCCAGGGCTGGGCAGGGCTGAGGGTCCCTTTTCTCGCCTTCCCAGAGCCCTGGTCCACAAGCCTCTGACCAGGTGAGTCTCTTGTGTCTGCTCCGCCCTTTTCCTCCGCCTTCTCCCAGGAAACTCCTACTTTGAAGCCCCTCCTCCTCCAGGAAGCCCCTTTACCTGGCCTCCCCGCGGGTGGAGGGTGAGGTGGCATGACTGTCTGCACAGGCATGGAGGGCGGACAGATGACAGAGGGGAGCCCACCCAAAAGGCTGTGTGACCTTGGGTTCCGGACACCCAGCCCCCACCCAGCTGTGACTGTCAGCGTGAGCTTTACCACACAGCAGCCCCAGCCCTCAACCCAGCTGCCTGCAGCTCCCGGAACCCATGATTTTTCTGACTCGGCCTGACCCTCCCCTCCGGGGGGCTGGGGCCATCAAAGGCTGATTCACTGATTCCGCTGGCCTGAGAGAGAGGAAGCTGGGGAGGCTGAGGTGCAGCTGGGGGTTCTCCTCTCTAGGCAAGGGTTGCCCACCCCACTCTCCCACATGACTGACAGCATGCCACTGGGCCTTGGCATAAGCTTTCTCCAAGGGTCGACCCTGGCACCCCCTTTCCCCAAGCCTTCTGAGATGGCCATTGGCCATCAGCACATACGTGGCAGAGTTGAAGGTGAGACTTGGGGGGTGGGGGCGGGCAGGGGCTCAGAACACACCACACATGAGCCTGAGCCCTCCCAAGCCCCAAGCCGGGACAAGGGGGTCAGGGCACACGGGCCCGGGGAGCCCAGGCAGGGCAGCACTGGTGCTGGCCCAGGCCACATGGAATTGCGGTCAGCACTTCCCCAAGAAACCAACCCTCCAGGGAAACCAGCCCTCAAGCACTATGGCCCCTCCTAGCCATTCTGTTCCCTACAACCTTCACCCAACAGAAGGGCCCCAAATTCAGGAGTCCACACCCCTGCGGCTTGCAGCAGCCAGGCTAAGAGACCCATCACGAAGGCGCCCTGTGCTGAGTGGCGTGGAGCTCTAGGGGTGCCTGAGTGCCACCCAAGGCCTTGGCCACTGTGTCACGGAGGCTTCTTCTGGTCATTTCTCACGGGGTCAGCAGCCTGCATACCCCATGTCTCCCCCCCATGAATGAAGGGGCACATGGCTGCTGCGGGCACCTGAGGGGAGTGCCAGGACCAGAACATGGACACATCCTCCCCCGCAAAGGCCTGGTCCAGCCCCCAGCTCAGAACTCAGCTGGCACCTGGCCTGGTCTCAGCCACCGTGAGGCCATTAAAGGCTTGGGGGTTGCAAGTGTGGGAGATTAGAAACCCCAGGGAAGGGAGGGCAGGCCTGAGTCACAGCCTGGGGGTTGGGGGCAGACAGATCAGAGCTGATGGGAGGGAAGGTAGAGGAGGGGAGGGAGCCAGGACAACCAAGGGCCTGAGGGCCGGTCCCCTTTCCAGTCCCAAGATGCCCAGCGTGCCTGTGGCCAGTGAGGCTCGCTCCTCTGGGTCTCAAGCTTATGCCCTTGGTACAGCCAGCCAGCCCCTCGGGGCTCTGCGGAGGAGGCCACGGGACCGGGAGGGCCGCCCTGTCCCCAGATAGGCCGGAAGGTCAAGGGGAGACAGCATCGTATCAGGTGTCTGCGGGGTAGGGGGTGGGAGACAGAGGAACAGCCCGGAGGGGATAACGCTTCCTTCCAGAAACGGCCAGGAGGAGGGGGGCACTCCGCGGACCGTGGGGGGCTGTCGGGTCGCCGCGGGTAAGGTCCCCGGCCGGGGCGCGCTCACCTAGTCACCGTGCGCCGGGCGCGCGGGCTGTGCGCCCGTTCCAGGCCCAGGCGCACTCCGATGCCGACCAGCACGAGCAGCGCAGCGACGCCGCAAACTGCGTAGACGGCGGTGTGGCTGCGCTCGCGGGCCGGGTCCCGGGGCGCGGCGGTGTCGCGGGCGCGGGCAGGCGGCCGGCCCGTCTGCACCCAGGCGGGCGTGTCGTAGTTGGAGCAGCGGCTCTGGTCCAGGCGCCGCGGCCCGTCGTGGCAGCAGAAGCGGTAGCCGCACGTGCCGCAGCAGAAGCTGTAGGCGCCCGAGCTGCAGTTGAAGGGCGGGTCCCACTGGCCCATCACGTCGTAGTAGCCGCGGCAGCGGTCTCCCCCAACCGGGGCCGCTGTGCCGGGCGCCGCGGGCTCCGGCGCCTCGGGGGCTCCCGCGCGGCCCGACGGCGGCCGCGCCAGCAGCAGCGGCAGCGCCAGCCCGAGCGCAAGCCGGAGCCGCGGCGTCCCTGCCCGCTCCATCGAGCCCGCGCCTCCTCTACTGCGCCCCGCGCATGGTCCAGCGCGGCGGCTCCCTCCAGTCCGGCTCCTCCGTACCCTCAGGGACCGCACCGGCCCCGCTGCCGAGGCGCTACGTCCCAGCGGACGCGGTCCTTGGCCGTTATCTCCGTCTTCTGGCGGACCCCAGCCCCAGGGACCCCAAGTCCGGTGGGCGCGTCGCCCGCAGGGGGCTCACCTCGGACCCAAGCCGGCCAGTCCGCGCGCCGAGACTTGCCCGAGCCGGGCGGCAGTTCCTTGCCCGCGCGCGCGGTCCTGACTTCTGGCCCAGGAGCGTGTGCGAGTCCCCAGCCCGGGGGTCGGGGGCTCACGGGACGCCGCTCCTTGCCGCTGCCCGCTCCGTGCTGCCCGCGCTCCGGCTCCGGCGCGGGCTCGGGCGGGCGGGGGCGGGAGCGCGGGAAGAGGGCGGGCGGCGGGAGGCAGAGCCGGGGGCGGAGCGCAGCCGCCGCGAGGGGCGGGAGGGGCGCGGCGGGGCCACAGGCCCCACTGGGGACCTTCTCCCTCTACACCCTCCAGAAAAAAACAGCCCCAGGATCGGGGCGCTCGGTGGCTTCCGCCGAAGGCTTAGAAGAATGCGACCTGGGGTCTGGAGCCCACGACCCGCATCCCTCGTTTTACAGGTGCAGCGGGCTCCGCCCGGAGAGTCAAAGCCGTTTTCTGCTTCCCGTCGCCCGAAGGACCCTTCCTCTCTGCGCCTCCGTTTTCCCGCCAGTCAAATAGGAGGGAAACCTCCGGCCAGCCGCTGCAGAGGTCGGAATCTGGGTCTCCTAGGCGCGGCCTGGCGCAGGGTGACCCCTAGGGTGCACGCCTGGGTTTCAGATCCTTCTGGACTTCGAACTCGGGTCCCTAGGATGACCCCCTCTACTGCCCGGGGTGATGTCCGCGGCCTGGTCAGTGCCTTCAAACGACCTGCTGCCCTCCCAGCTGTGGCCAGGCCGAGAAGAGGAAGGCAGACCTGTCCTTCCAAGCCCCCTCGTCGTCCCCTAGGACTCCCGACCTGGCCGCCCTAGTCACCACGGTGCTTACTGGATCAGACAGCCAGAGGGCCCACCCTCCTTGCTCTGGGTTCTCTAAGATCAAGAACTGGGCTCCACTCAGCACCCTCCCGCCTCCAAGCCAGATCTGCTTCCCAGTGGAGGATTTGCATGCCAAGCAGGCTCACGCCTCCCACAGCCTGTCAGGAGGGTGGCAGGCCAGTTCACGTGTCTGTGACCCAGGCAGGGACCCCAACGATGTCCTGTGCCTGCGGTAGCCCTTTGGGGATCCCAATGACTATGAAACAGCCTGTTCCCCAGATCCTTCTAGTTCAGAGACCCCAGCCTACCAAAATACTTCCAGTGGTTCCAGAGACACAGCCAGCTGAGGCGATTGCTTTAATCCGGTCACCAGAGCCAGCTCTGACACCTGACATCGCCCCAGAGCTGGGTTCTTCGGCAACTCCCCTTGCAGCTGTCCTTCCAGCCTTCACACTGTTATTCTGCTCAGAATGGGTGCCAGCTCCAAGCATCCTCTCCTGCTGCCCCCCAGGGCTCCCCTGGGGGTGGGGCAGGGGTCCTGGAAACCGGACACAGCCTGGTCTTCTGGATGTGGGGCCTGTTGCACTCGGGGGTTGCTAGAGTTACTTGCCCTGTGCCCCCCATTGCTGGCTTAGAGACCTCATCCCTGTCCCCTCAGAACTGTGGCCTTTTCCTGGGTAGGGTCACTCTACTGGGTCTGGAAGTAGACCTGTGCCCCCTCTTGACCCCACTGTCCTGGCAGGCACGGGGCCTCGTGTTGGCTCCCTGCAAATGTCTGTGCATCGTGGTGGCCATCTGTCCAGCGATGGAGTTGAATTCCAGCCCTTCTCTTCTACCCCCACCTCCAGCTTCCGGTTTCATCTCAGTCCAATTCAGTGGCCAGCCAGCAACCACAGGTGCCCACATCCCCTGGGCCTCAGCCGAGCACTAGCTGCCCTCTCCATATGGCCACTTGGTCTTCAGGGAGTGGAGCAGGCAGGCCAGCCGTACAGACAGGAGTTCGAGCGATTGGCCAAGTCCCTCCACTAGGCCCTTGGTGCCTGGCCGTGTGCTGGGTGAGGGGAGCTAGGATGTAGCCAGCAGGAGAGGGACCACTCTGCCTGGGACAGCCAGGCTCCAGTGCACCTGCCTCTTGTGTCTTTTGCCCGTCCCCCGCCGGGCCTGTATCACTGAAAATCACCCATCGATCCAGGCTTAAAATAACCCCTGGCATCTGCAGCAAGCCCAGCGGGGCGGGCAGAGGAGATGAGCTGTGCCTGAAGGGCACCACCCCGCCTCCAGCTCTGGGTGCTAGCAGTCCTCCCGTGCGGTTCTATGGACACGCGTGTCTATGTGTGTCTGTGTGGTTGTGAACACAAGCCCTTGCTGGAACCTGGCTCCAGCTGTGGAAGGCTAGGTGTCCTCCTGGGGCCTCCTAGGCACTGGGGAGACAGCCTGGGCTGGACCAGTCCACCAGCTTTGGCAGATCCAGAACAGTGCTTCCTACCCCAGAGGGAGTGCCCACACCTGACCTGGGCAGCCCTGACCCCCACGTGGGCTGGGAACAGGACCACTGTGGGTGTTAGTGCCAGCCCAGGCTCACTGAAGGACCCTCCCTTTGTGTGGAGGGGGATCACCCTAGAAGCAGGGGTGGGAGGACCCAGGACTCCCTGGAGAGCCAGTGCCTCCAGCCCCAGGAGGGGGTATGTGGAGTGGCCCCCCTGCTGCCTTTGTCTCCTGACTGTGAAGGTGACAGGCCCCAGCTGCCTCTGGGAAGGAGGGGACCCCTGGGCTCCTGAGGTCACATGGGGAGTGCGGGGACAGGGAGCAGAGGTTCAGGCTTCAGAAAAGTGCCAACCCCAAGCACCCTCCCTGTAAATGCATGCTCCTCGGCCTGAATAACACCTCTCATTCCCGACCCTGACACCACATACATCCGGGTTGGGGGGACACCAAGGTCAAGACCTTGCGTGAGGGTCCATCGGCGACCAAGGATGCTCCCGCCTTTTCTGGCCCACCACGCCCCCAGCCTCACCCTTCCACCCCTAGATGGGGTCTTTCAGCCCTGTCCCCCAAGGCACGCACAGCGCCGTGTGTTAACTGCACAGGGAGCCGTCCGGGATGGGAGGCGGGAGCAAGCAGATTCTCAGCAGCTTGGAGGCTGTGGGAGACCGGGCCTGGAACCACTTGCTTGCCCAGCAAAAGGCCCAGACCACCTCTCTCTCCTCGGGGTCGCGAGAGGGGGATGGCTAGGGAAAGGGCCAGGACCCCTCTTTCTCCTCAGGGCTCCGCCCTAGCTTTCTGGCCACCTCGGACACTTGTCCTCTTGTCCCTTGGGCACGGCCAGGCAGATCTGCTGCCTCCCTCCCAGCCATCCTTGGAGAATCCCCCCTGGTCCCACCTGTCATTGCGCCCCAGGTGCTCCCACGGGCCTGGAGGTGCTGCTGGCTTCCCAGGGCTGGGTGGTGTGGGTTCTCTGGGTAGCCGCAGACACCAGACACCGTGGGAGGTGAGGGGTCAGGCCTGCCTCCCCTCTCCCTCGCTGAGCACCGGTGCCCAGGCGGCAGGAAGTGAAAGGGGCCTGCCGGAAGCCCCAGGGGGAACCGAGACTTAAGGCGCCCCGCCCCCACCTGCCAGGTTGAGAGTGGGGGTGGGGCGGGGACATTGTGGATAGAGGGACCTAAGCCAGGGTGACAGGTGCCAGGCTCCCAGGGGACAAGTAGTTCTTGGCATCACTGCCTGAAGGGGGCAGGGGAAGAGTGCCCTAGTGCTGGGTAGGCAAAATGAAGGGCAGGAGCTGGGCTGGCCCAGCACCACCACCACTGCCCTGGGTACCCTGAGCCAGGTCCCTGTACCAAGCTGGGCTTCTCTTTGCTCCTCTGCAGCTCACAATGGCAACAGAGCTCTGGCTTGGGGAGGCCTGGCACAGCGACGCCTGGCATCAGTGATGCCCACCAGGGCTCATGCTGGCAGGGGTACTCGCTGGATGGGGAAACAGCCAGAGGCTCAGAGGACACATGTTGGAGCCTCCCTGGGAAGTGCTGGGGAGAGCGACATGCCACCTGGGCCCGGGCAGGTGCGGACAGAGTGCCCGCGGTGACGGGGCCATCAGCTGCCCTGGCACACCGTCCTTCCTGCCCTGGGGGCCTGCCAGGATTGCTGTCCTCTTCACTGTCTACAAGATGCACTTCTTGGTTTGTAAAACACAACACTGTTTTCTTGAAGCAGACACACACACCCACAGCAGGAGACTTCCCACGTTTTGGGTGCCCTGATGCAGGGCAGGTGAGGCGTCCAGGCTACGGCTTCTGAGGGAGCCACACCTAGGACACGGGAGGTCCTCCACCCCTTCCTGCTGTACCCCTCCTCACCCACCCCTCCACTGCTCTCTCCTGGTTCTTCCTCCCCACCCCCAAGGAACGGCTCTGTATTTGCTGGGTCTCAGTTTTCTCATCTGTGGAATGGATGTGTGAGGGAGACAGCGTTTCCCACAGTTCCTTCCAGTCCTCCTGCGGGGGCCACAGGCTGGAAGGAGAATCTTGCATCCTACTCCTTCCCAGGTTTCCAGATGCTAAGACTAGAAGGAAAGCAGCACCCACCAGGGCCTCAGCCGGGACAGTAAGGTGCCTGAGGTTTGCATGTCTGGGTCCTGGAGGGGTTTCCCCAACCCTTTTCATCTTCAGGCCTAGGTCCTGGCTGAGATGGGGAGGACCAGGGCAGAGCCCTGGGGCAGAAAGACTTCTGGCTCTTACCACTGCTTCTGGCTGGCTGCTGCAGAGCCCACTCTGGTCACCTGCTCCTGGGGCAGGGGCAGCTGAAAGAGGGACCAGCTGGACTTGGGACTTGGATGGGAATGGCCGCTTCTGGGCTTGGAGGGAAAGACAGAGGGGCGGGGGATGGCTACCAGGCAGCACTGGTGGGCAGCTCAGGGAGAGGATGTGGCCGGAAGGAGGAGACAGTCCCTGGGGATGGGGGGCTAGGCTGTGGCCATTTCCCCAGAAGCATCTGGGACAGAGTCTGGGGTGGGAGCTGTGACCCCACGTCTGAGGCTAGCGGGCAGGGTGCAGGTTGGTCCAGAACTGGGGCGAGGCCAGGCTGAGCCCCTGCAGCACCCCTGGGAAAAAGGCGGCTCCCCTGGAACCAAGGGGGAGCTCAGTGCTGGCCCCCAGGCCAGCGTGCACGAGGGGCCTTGCGTTACGCCTGGGCTGACGCACGGCCCAGCACAGCCTTTCATTTTGTTGTTCCCGGGTATTTCTTAAAATAAGCTTGTACTCAATCCCAGAGCGAAACCATCAGCCGGTTACTCATTGCTGCCACTCGCATCCGCGTACTAAAGAAGCACAACACCCGCTCCGAATTCAGCATCCTCCCACTCGGCCTTTCTTTTTTCCCCCAGGTTCGTTTTAGCTTAGCAGTGCCTTGAAGACTCTAGAAGGAAACCCTCGTAATTGGAGTATCCCGAACCGTGCAAAGCGACTCACACCCAAGCCGGCTTACCACCCATCCCCAGGCCGGCCAAGCCTAGTCCACCCTGGGCTCCGGGCAGCAGGGACCTGGGGGCGTGAAGGAAGGGCTGGGGTCCGCTTGCAGGGGCCCTCCAGGTGCTACTGCTGTTCTGGACCGGCCGTTTTGGTGGTCACCAGCTCTGTGGAGCCCAGCTCTGTGGCAGGCACTGGGATGCTGTGGCCAGGGGGCACAGGGCCTGGTTTCTCTCCGGGTCCAAGTGAGTTGGCAGCTGTGGCATCTGGGGCTTCAGGGGTGGGGATGATGACATCATCCAGGGGCTCTGGGGGTGAGGGTAGGGAGGGGTATCGGGTGAGGCTTAGTATTGGGTCCCGCCCTTCCCAAGCCTTGCTCTGGAAGTTTCTACTGGTGTTTTGTATCCCAGTGAGGGGGGGGAGGGGTTGGTGAGGGTGCACATGGACTACCCCTGGGACCGGAAATGCCTGGCCAGAGGCCTGGCAAGGTGGGGTGCTAAAGGCCAGGGACCAGGAGAGCAGCATCCTGTCACTGGGAACAGAGCTTCCGGCAGGACCCTGTATTTTCCTGTTCATCTGGCCATGAAGGAGCAACATCGCCATCTGCACTGAGGCCTGATCCCCTGTCCAGACCTCCCTTCACTGGCACCCTGGCTCATCCTTCTGCACCAAGCCTCCCCTTGGGGGGGGCTCTCCCTGACTCACCGTCCGGGGCTGGGTTCTGGACCTTGAGGAAGGGCGCTCCTGGCCGCCGCCGCCGCCGCCGCTTCCAGGTCACCAGGGCCACCAGGGCCAGTGCCAGCACCAGGCTCAGCAGCACAGGGGCACCAAAGAGCAGCCCGGGCAGGGGCAGTGCCCCCTCGGGGATGCCCACGCCCACTGACTCCTGTGGCTGCAATGCTGTCCCGGGCGCCAAGCTGCTGCCTCCCGCTGCAGGTGCAGGGGACAGGGAGAGAGGGCATGAGGTCGAGAGAAAGGATGGCCTGAGGCCAGAAGGGTCAGATGAGGCTGGGCAGGAAAGTGGGGGAGGAGAGGCGGTGGTGAGGGTCCCTCAGGTGCCCACCCAGGCCCTGTCCACAAGGCTCCCATGAGTCTGTTGTCCGCATGAGTTCTGGGCAAGTCGGGGCTCCACCAGGCAGAACTCCAAGGGCCTCTCTTACCGTGCCTGGGTTCTGGTGTACGGAGGAGGCTGCAGGCCACACAGTGGCGGATCAGCGGGTCGAAGCACTGGGCCTGGATGCAGGATGTTGGGGCTGGGCCGTCCCGGCCCCGCGGGTGCCGTGGGCTCTGCCTCATGGTGCTGAAGGAACTCCAACCAGCTGGGGCTGAGTTCTGAGCTTGCCTCTCTGCCCTGGGGAAGAAACTGGGAGGGCCCTGCCCTCTCGCCGCCCCGCCCCTGCCTGCAGGGTGGGACCCTGAGCCATCACTGGGAGCTCATGTCTTCCACCTGTGGTTCCTCTGTTCAGCCACTCAACCATTACCTTCAGACGCCAGCTGGGTGGGCCCCGAGAGCTTGCCGCACTGGGACCCAGCCGCAGCCAGACCAGAGCCCGCTCCCAGGCAGCCGAGGGGGTGGACATTTCTGAGGGTCCTCCTTGAGCTGACCCTGGCTGCAGACCCTTCCCCCAGGCATCTTCTTTCAGCCCCACAAACCTCCTTGCCTCCCCTCCCTCCCCTTCATCCCCTCCCTCTTCCCTCTCCAGCCAGGGCTATCTCAAGGCATGACTCCTGCTGAGGGATGTCACGCAGGAGGGGTGTCTCCCAGCACTGGGACCCCCCCCCCATCCCTACTCCCTGGCTGGGTTCAGGATCTCCCAGCTGTCTCAAGCACACACAAGTTCCTATCACATGGGGGGTGGGCCAGTGGAGGGTACAGAGGGAGGCGAGGGCTGATGCCTCCTGGGGGACCACAGACTCTAATCGGCTCCCAGAGGGGTCGCCGCCCAGGGGCTGAGGAGGGGTCTGGCTGGATGTTCAGTGTTGGTGAGAGAGAACCAGCTGGAGTGGCCTGAGGAGAAGGCGTGCGTGTTGGGCATCCTGGGAGGGAGGGGCCCTGGTCCCCCTGTGAGGGACGCTTGGGCACAGACGGGCAGAAGGAACAGGCTGTGGTGCACATGGGTGCTGACCGTGGGTCAGTTAACGCACAGACGCTGGCAGACAGGAGCTGCTGGGCTCTCCACAGGGATGAAGGCATGCTAAGGCCAGCTGCTGGCTCCTTGGATTATGTGGGCCGTGCTCTAGTATCTCACCAATAGGGGTTGACAGTAGGGGCGGGGCATAGTGACTAAAGCTGTCGCCTATGATGTTGATATCTCACAAGGGGCATGGGTTCGAGTCCTGGATGCTCCACTTTCGATCCGGCTCCCTGCTTGTGGCCTGGGAAAGCAGCAGAGGATGATGGCCCAAGGGCTCGGGGCCCTGTACCTGCGTGGGAGACCTGGAAGAGGCTCCTGGCTTTGGCTTAGCTCAACCTTAGTCATTGCTGCCATCTGTGGAGTGAACCAGCAGATGGAAGATCTGGCTGTATCTCTGCAACTCTTTCAAATAAAGAAACTAAAAAAAAAAAAAAAATCACTGCTATCCACCCCCCACGCACAAGTAACACATTACGTAAAAAAAAAAAAAAAATCTAAAGTAAAATTGAAAAATTGCATTTTCCCCTATTTATTTGGAAGGCAGACAGAACAAAAATAAAGAGATCTTTGATCTGCTGGTTCACTTTCCACGTGCCCGCAACAGTCAGGGCTGTGCCAGGTCAAAGTCAGGAAGCCAGAACCCCGTCTGGCTCTTCCACGTGGGTGACTGGGACCCAAATCCTCAAGCCATCCCCTGCTTCCCAGCAAGGAAGCTGACACGGACACCAGGCACTCCAACATGGAGGCAAGCCACCACACGTCTTTCCGTGGCATCCCCCATTGCCACGGAAAGAAGGCTGTCTCTCTCTAGCTGCCCTGGAATCAGAGTGCGGCCAGGGAAAACAGCAAGAAGGCTGGTGCAGCAGCTAGCCGCAAGACCGGCCTCCAGGTCTTTGGTTCAGGATACCCTCCTAGTGAACCAGGCTTGGGGGGACCTGGCCCATTGCTTCCCCACCCCCTGCCCACGGGCCAGCAACTCCACAGCAGGAAGGCGTAGGCGGCAGGGCAGCTGCAAGGAGTGGGTGTGGGGTGGCAGGTGTGGGCGTGAGGGGGGAGCTGGGAGTCCGGAGCAGCGCCAGGGCAATGGGGGTCTCTCACTGGCCAGGGGATGGCTGCAGCCCCCTCCCCTGCAGTATCATCTCTGTCCTGAGGCTTGTGGGAACCCAGGGGTCGGGAGATTTTTGTGCCCAGGAGAGAGTGGCTCCGTGGGCCCGGAGCTGAGGGTGCAAACCTGAGGGCCACAGCTCACAGCAGGCATGAGACCCGACGTAGCCCCAGATGCGAGATGTGGCAGTTTGAGGTGTCTCAGGTGGGCCAGACGCGGTAGCCTAATGACTAAAGTCCTCACCTTGCATGTGCTGGGATCCCATATAGGGGCTGGTTCTAATCCTGGTGGCCCTGTTTCCGATTCAGCTCCCTGCTTCTGGCCTGGGAAAGCAGTAGAGGACGGCTCAAGGCCTTGGGACCCTGCACCCATGTGACAGACCCGGAAGAGCTCTTGGCTCCTGCTTTGGATCGCTCAGCTCCGGCCATTGTGGCCACCTGGGGAATGAATCAACGGATGGAAGATTTTCCTCTCTGTATATCTGCCTTTGCAATACAAATAAATAAATGTTTAAAAAAGTCTCAGTTAGGGGAGTCCTTGACATTGGCTGGGGGGCGGGGGTAGTGGCAGCTGCTCACTGGGTGCTCCCACGCGTCTGTGTTGAGCCAGAGCTCGGGACAGAGCCTGGACCCGCAGGGAGCCTGGGGTATTCATGTCTGTGGTGTGTGCAGGTGCCTGACCTCAGACAGAACTTTTCACTCCGGCCTCCCAAAAGGGCTTGCGGCCAGCCTCGCGCCGGGGCTTGGGTGACTTGGTGGTTAAGAGAAATTTCACCCACGCCAGTGAAATTAGCTTACTCCTCGATGTATGCTTTTTTTTTTTTTTTACAGCTCAAACCAAGTTTACAAATTTCTTTATTCAAATCTTTTACATTTATCTAAAAAAATCTTGTTCAAATAAGTTACTGGAGCGTCACAGACAGCACCTTCGTCCACCGGGTCACCACAGGGTCTGCAATGCGCTGAGTGGCTTCGGATCCTGGGACCAGCTCAACCCGGGTCTCCCCTGGACGTGGCAGGGACCCACCTGGTGAGCTGGTGCCACCGCTGCCACCTCCCAGGGCCCGAAGCCAGAGCTGGGGCTCCTGGTGTCTCACCCCATGGTTTATACCAGGATACTGTAACAGATACAGCTCAGGAACCGCCAGCAGCTAGACGTCCTGGGCGAGGAATGTGTGGAGGGGCATGGAGCCCCCGGTGCCCCCGGGCAGGCCCACCGCCCTGTGGTACCTACTCCCCAAACACTTGTATATGGCATTTTGACAATGAGCTATGATTGACAGATAAAGGTTAATCAACTTTTTTTTTGCAAATTTCCCTTTTTACTTTAAATAAGTTATGACCTCAACATATTCCTAAATGGGAAATGAGGGACTTTGTTGCTGAAAATCCCTTCTCACCAAATCTGCCTAATCTGCTCATTTGAGATGTCTCAGCAGGGGGTCTTCCCTTGACTCCATCCCCCAAACTCCAAGAAGGACGATGAGCCAGCAGGTACAGGGGCCTGTGCCCACCTGACTGTGAAGCGTGGCCTGTACCCTTGGTGCTTCCGGCCTGGCTGCAGGAAGTGAGGACACAGGGCACCTATGGGACAAACGCGCTGTCGTGGCAGTCCCTTGGGGCGAGAGGCCCAGTTTCCCCAGAGCTAGATGTGAGAGTGTGCTGGGCCAAGGATGCACTCTGAACTCCCACTCTGCCCGCAGTATCTAAGCATGCTCACAGAAGGCCTTGGCCGGAACCGAGTCTCCAGGTAGGGGGACTGCTTCCTCCTTGAGCCCTCTGTGTCTGGGGCTGCTGCGTGCCAGCTCTCAGCTCCCCGCTTTGGTAGCATCCCCGAGACCCCTTGTCACAGCCTCCTGTGTCCTCATGTTCTCGGTTCTGGACGCTGGAGGACTACAGCAGCCAGACACTGGGTCCTCCCAGTCCCAGCATGCTTATTGAGCAGCCCCTCTCCGGGCACCCGTTCACGCACATGCCTGTCCACCTTCTGGCACTCCGCGGGGTTCTTGGTCAGGGCACTGCTTTCCCAGTGTGGGCCTGGGGTTCCCTAGTGAGGTGAGGCCTCCTCCTGGGGGGCGGGTGGCAGACAACAGGGGTGTCAGGTGGGAGGGGTCTTTCATACCCCCCAGCAGGAACAAGGAGTCCCTGGCCCGACACCTCTGCTGGATGAGCAAATGCCAACACCACCCAGGCCGCGCCAGGTCCTGGTGTAGGTTCCGGGAGGCGGCTGGGAAGCACGGAGACAAAACCCGAGCAGGGAAAGCCCGCTATAAACTGTGAGCCAGGGCATGAGAAGTGCAGGCAGAAAACCCAGAGGGGCGGGCCCAGGGAGTTAAGGGTTCCAAATAGCGGGTCAGAGAAGGCCTGAGAGGAAGAGGGGTCCCTGAGTCGAGGGGCTGGCAAATGGGCTGGGCCCCGGGCAGGACCCTGAGCCCACTCCTCTTTGTGGGAAGGTGGCAGGGCCATTCCTGCCAAGGACAGCGTGTCGCATGGGGAAGACAGGCTGGGCCAGTCCCTGGGCCCTTCACTCTGCACACCAGCTGTGGACAGTGACAGGGAGTTGGAGGGGTCAGATCTGGCCCCTTGGCCTGGGCACCCCTCTTGTGCTGGCCCCAGGTACAAGGGGGTCTCTTGTGGAAGGCCATCTCAGCCCAGGTCAGGGGTGGGGGGCTGCCCCCATACTTCCCTCGTCACCCTGCGGCAGAACTCAAATCTGTGCAGGCCCTGGCAGCACCCTCCTGCCCAGGTCTCTGTGTGTAGGGTCCTTCCACAAGGATTCTCTGCCTGCACTCCCCAGTCCCCAGGAGATGGGAGGGCAGCAGAGTGGGGCACGAGGGTGGCAAGCCAGCAAGGCCTTCTGGGAAAGGTCCCTTGGCCAGAGCCGCGTTTCGTCTGTCGGGGAGGGAGGGAGCCCATGGGCCGTCGGGAGAGCTAGAGGCCAGCATCGGCTCTCCCGTTTTCCTTGGGGCCCCTAGAGGTGATGGGGGCATAGCTGGGGTCCTTTCCCACCATACCACTTCCCCTGTGTGGCTGTCCCTAGGGAGCCCCACCCTCACTGGGAGCACCCTGCGTCCTGGCCAGGGAGATGGCTGCGAAGGGAACAGATGAACCTGCAACAAGGCCTGCCCTTCCAGGTACTGCACATACCCACGCAGCTGGCAGTGACCTTGAGCTGCCCTGCTCCTCAGATCTGCAGCCACCATCAGGAGTGTCCTCCCGTGTGACCACGGCTGCCCACAGTCTCTCTGCCAGCTGGGCAGAGGGCATCAGGGAGCCTGGCCCCATTTTGCAGATAAGGGGATTGAGGCTTACTGAGGGCAGGTCGCCTCCTGCGGCTAGGCCAATAGGAAGCGGACACACCCAACCTTCGGCCTCCACAGCATCACTAAGCACCAAAACCTACAAGCCATGGCACAATGCCACTCCTGCACTATGGCACTGGCCTCTGGTCACTGTGGTGGTGAGCACATTCCCCAGGCACCCACCTCCAGCCTGCTGGGGAGGGGCCCAGGAAGGTACCCGGCTGCCATGTAAGCTTGGCTCGGCTCTGCAGCAGGCAGGGGCGGGTGGCCTCTTGGTGCCAGAACTGCCGAGTGCGCTGGGGACTGGCAGCCAGGAGAGCAGTGTGTTTTGCCACAGTTTGGAAGGCTCCCAGGGCCTCAGCTGCAGAATGCAATGCCACTTGTTAAATGGCACCAGGTGGCAAAGAAAACGTGGCGTGGAGGCCTGAGAGGTGCTCCTGCTGGCAGGGGGTGGGCAGGGCTGAGGAAGGCCTCTTGTGAGGCTCTGAGGTGGCACATGTGCCCGCTGCCTTCCCCACCCCCGGCCCTCCTTTGCAGCCCAGGATCCTCAAGGTGGGTGCCATGCTGGCTCCTGGGAGCCCTGGGCCCTCTGAGGCCAGTTTTGGGGACCACATCTGTACCTCCAGCTTCCACAGGAGTTCCCCACCTTCTCCAGCAAACACCTGGCTCTCGGGGAATCCCCTGCACTAGCCTCGCCTGCTCAAGTCCCAAAGCAGTGTGGTCCTCTCTGCGTGTGCCCAGTGTCCTAGCTGTCTTGACCCGGGGCTTGGAGACAGCCCTGCCGACTGCAGTGGGGACGCCCCCAGACACCCAGGCAAACAAGCCAGGGTACAGGCAGAAGGCCGAGGTGGTTCAGCGGCTGGAGCTAGGCAGAAATCATACCACCGACGTCAGAAGCCTGCAAGCAGATGGAGGTGGGCAGCACAGGGTGGTGCCATGGCCTGGCTTGCCCTCTCCCAGAGCCGTGGAACTCGGTGGAATTGCTGCATTGGACTCAAACCCCAGCAGCAAGATCAAGGTTCCTATTGGGCCCTAGAGTGGCAGCTCGGCACCTGGGAGCCAGGGGCCAAGGGGTTCCCATAGGAGGTGCCACCCAGAGCCCAGAGCCCAGGACCCAACACTGCTCACCGAAGGTTTGCAGGCTCCTGGTCAGACATGCCATGCCTGCTGACCAGGCGATGGTCCCCATTTCAAGGTCAGGAGGCTGCGTCCAGTGTTTGAACCCAGATTTATGCAGTTTTACACACCAGCACCTGTCTGCTGAGGGCCCTGCTGTCGCTAACACAGTGTGTTACGAATCACATTGTCAAGTGAGGGAGGCAATCGTAAGCTCTCAGGTTGCATTCTGTCTTCCCAGGTGGGCAGGAGCTGCTCAGATTAGAGGTTCAAACGCTGGTTCAGGGTCTCCGTACCCGGGGTCCTGGGGTCCGACACCTGGCTCCGACTTCACCCGCATGGATCGCGTTCTCGGCTGACTTGGTCCAGCCTCCATGCCATGGTGGGCATTCGAGAAATGGACCACCTCTGCTCTCTGTCTCTCAAAACTAATCCAAAATTATCCCCAGTTTGATACCTCCATTCACACCTGGGGAATCCGAGGTTCCCAGAGGCAGCAAGCAGGCGCTGTACCAGCAGGGCCGGGATGTGGGGTGCACGTGCCCCTTACCCCACAACTTATTGCTCTGTCCTCTCCTGCAGAGTCACAGTGGTGGATGACTGCGATTTTTCCAAATGTTTTTAGCCATGAACCCTTGGTTTAAATAACTTCTGGGAAGCCATGTCACGTGGAGGAGACCGGGTTCTGTGGGGGAGTGTGGGAGTGCGGCCTGCACACAGGGGCCAGAGGCCCTCACAGGTCCTCCAGGAAGGGGCTCTCGGAGCTCCTCAGCAGGGACAGCAGGCTCATGGCCGAGACACCGGGCACGTGGCCAGCGCAGATCTGCAGCATGCGGACCAGGCGCTGCGCCATGGTGGCACGGAAGTCCTCCACCTGCGGGCAAGAGTAGAAAAGGGTGTGAGACAGCACGGGGCAGCCGCCCCGGTTGCACGGCCGCCAGGGGTGCAGCTGGGGGGCAGGCCTCAGTGCTAGCATCATGGCCACACCCCCTCGCACATGCCCCACCTTACAAATGCGTCCCTGTCCTTGGCCTGCCCTTTCTTCCAACAGCCTCCTCCACATGGGGACCACCCCCGGCAGGAGGAGACTGAGGTTTAACAAGCAAGGTTGGTAAACTTCTAGAAGAAACCTCCAGACTGACCCTGGTCTCCAACTGTGCTGCCTAGGATCACAGTCTTGGCTGTGACCCACAGGGCCCAGTCCCTGACTTGTCTCTCAGTGCCTTGCCTTTGGCTTGTTGAGCTCAGCCCTGCGGGCCTGACTGCTGCCCCTGGCACACTCAGGCGAGCTCCCTGGCTGGCCCTGCCTGGGCGGCTTCTCCTGCCAAGTGCAGTCCTGCTTGTGGCGAGGACGTCTGGTCCCCCTGTCTGAATCTCATCCCTGACACGTCACGGTCCCCTCTCGGAGCTGTGATGCACCTGTTTCCTTAACCAGAACAGAAGGGGAACGTTCTCTGGTTCTGGTTATCTGGGCTCCCTGACGCCTGGAAGGCTGTTCGGCAGACCCTCAGGGACTTACAAAGTGTCTGTCCAGGGAATCCTCTCATCCGGGTCCTGTGGCTCAAGTCCAGCCCCCGCTGCCTAGGCTCCATGGCTACCTCCCGGCTCTGGCCAGGCCCCTGCCTCTCACCCTTCACGCTCCGGAGCTAGAAAGCCATGGCTTTGCTGGCCACATCCAGGAAGGCCTGCCAGCTTCCCAAAGCCACTGCACATCCCTGCTGCATCTGTCCAGTTCATTCTATTTTTTTTTTAAAGTATTGATTTGAAAGTCAGAGACGGAGAGAGAGAACTTTTATCAGGTGGTTCATGCCCCAAAATGCTGCCACAGCTGGAGCTGAGTCTCGGGGAGCCATGAGCCTAGAGCTCCATCCGGGTTGCCCACATGGGTGACAGGGACCAAGGACAGAAGCCACGACTGCGGCCGCCTGGGTGTGTTAGCAGGACTGGAAGTGAAGCAGCTGGCCCTCGGATCGGCACCCCGACATGTGTGTGCCCCGTGTGGTCACAGCGCCTGGCTGCATCCCCCTGGGTCCCGAGACGGCAGTGCTGGTCCTGCTTCATCTGTGCTCCTAGGGGCCAGCGTGGGGCTCCAGCAGCCGACCCAGGTGGCTGCTTCCCTGAGAAGATGACTTCCTGACGTGTGAGCTGGGCCTGACAACTCCGCCACACGGAGGTCTCCAGACACAGCGAGGCTCCACGGGAGGGCCACAGGCTGATGGAGACAGAAATGGGGGTTTCGTGGGAGGGCCACAGGCCCATGTTCTGACCAGGAGCTTCTGCAGTTCCTGCTGCCCTGCACCAGCGTGGCCTCCAGCAGCTGGCCGCACCCCTTTCCTTCCTACAGAAACCCTCAGGTTACAAGAGAACCAGGGGGGCCGGCGTTGTTGTGTAGCCAATAAACTGTGGCTCGAATCCCACGTGGCCGCTGCTAATGCACCCAGGAAAAGTCCTGGAATGTGGGTGCAGGCACCCACATAAAAATCCAAGAAGAGGCTCCTGGGTTTGCCTGGCCCAGCCCCAGCTCTTGGGACCACTTGAAGAGTAAATCAGCAGATGGAAGATCTCTTTTTTTGCCCTCAGTAACTGCCTTTCAAAAAAAAAAAAAAAAAAAAACAGGCCCAGGACCTGGAGTGGCCTGCCATCTAATGGCCACACAGAGAACTGCACCGCCTGAACTCTGCCATAAAGGTCAGGATTCTCAGGCCGGACCGACTCAGTGCCTGAAGTCCTCGCTTTGCATGTGCCGGGATCCCATTGGGGCGCTGACTCATGTCCTGGCTGCTCCACTTCCCATCCAGCCTCCTGCTTGTGGCCTGGGAAAGCAGTGGAGGACGGCCCAAAGCCTTGGGACCCTGCACCCGCGTGGGAGACCTGGAAGAAGCTCCTGGCTTCGGATTGGCTCAGCTCTGGCCACTGCAGCCAGTTGGGGAGTGACTAGAGGATGGAAGATATTTCTGTCTCTCCTTTTCTCTGTAAATCTGACTTTCCAAGATTTTAAAAAAGATTTATTTATTTTTATTGGAAAGTCAGATATACATAGAGGAAGAGAGACAGAAAGGAAGATCTTCCGTCTGATGATTCACTCCCCAGGTGACCGCAACGGCTGGTCCTGTGCTGTTCCGAAGCTAGAACCAGGAACCTCCTCCAGGTCTCCCACGCAGGTGCAGGGTCCCAAGGCTTTGGGCCACCCTTGACTGCTTTCCCAGGCCACAAGCAGGGAGCTGGATGGGAAGTGGAGCTGCCGGGATTAGAACCGGCGCCCATATGGGATCCCGGCGCATTTAGGGCAAGGACTTTAGCCACTAGGCCACGCTGCTGGGCCCCAGAAAAAATAAATCTTAAAAAAAAAATCAAGATTCTGCTTCAAACAAAACTGGGGATGAGTTGGAGCCTTGTTAGAAGCCACAGACAGCAGGTTGCTATGGGAGACAGCTACACTCCAGCCAGGGGCTGTGTGCTGGCTAGCTGCAAGCCTGGGAGTGAGACACCCCTGCTGGGCCAGGTGCCAGGCCTCAGGCTCCCGTCTGCAAGGGGCCACGTCTTGGGCCAGTCGGGGATGCTCAAAAGAGTCATTACACAAACCAGGTCAGCGTGAGACCGAGCAGCCGGGGCACCTTGAGCTAAGGGTCGGCTGGGTGCAGGTCCGGGGGCACCTTGGGCTAAGGGTCCACTGGGTGCAAGTCTGGGGGTACCTTGAGCTAAGGCTCTGCTGGGTGCAGGTCCAGGGGCACCCCAGGCTAAGGGTCCGCTGGGTGCAGGTCCGGGGGCACCTTGGGCTAAGGGTCCACTGGGTGCAAGTCTGGGGGTACCTTGAGCTAAGGCTCTGCTGGGTGCAGGTCCAGGGGCACCCCAGGATAAGGGTCAGCTGGGTGCAGGTCCAGGGGCACCCCAGGCTAAGGGTCAGCTGGGTGCAGGTACAGGGGCACCCCAGGCTAAGGGTCCGCTGGTGCAGGTGTCCCAGGCCCCATCCTAACCAGACATGCAGACACACCCCCTGCCTACATTCACGATGCTCAGCTTCCCTGGGAAGTTACTAGAAAACAGAAGTGATTATTGCCATCTCCTCTGGATTCAGTCCACAGCCCTCCAAGGAGGGAGTGCTGGTCCAGACAGTGGGGGGACGCCCCCACACAGCTGACTGCATCCAGTGCTTGCCTTTGGGGATAGGTGCCAGCCCCAGCACAGAGGTGTCAGTGTCCAACATGAACCTTGACATCAACAAGCAGGTGTCCAAGGCGACAGCAGAGGTCTGGGCCCAGGAGGGGGCAGCTCAGGCCCTGAGCCCTCGGCCGATCTCTGCCTGTCTGTATGTCTATCTGAAAGGCAGAGAGAAAGACAGAGAAGGTTCCCCCATCCCATCCTCTGGTTTCTCTCCTTACAAGCCCAGCTCTGGCTGGGCCAGGCCAGATTCAGGAGTCAGGAGCTCCAGCTGGTCTCCCAAGTGGGCAGTAAAGCTCCAAGTGCCTGGGCCACCGCACACTCCCCATGAGCCCATGTGTGAGCAGGAAGCAGAAACGGCAAGCAGAGCCAGCACCCCAAACCTGGCACCCTGACGAGACCCAAGGGCCTTGGGCAGCAGCCTGACCTGGCAGCAAATGCCTCAACAGGTACCGTCAACGTGCCTGCTGAGTTCCAAAGGCCCACTGGCCTTACACCCCCTGTCACGGGCAATGTGCTTACCTCCAAGTCACATAGGAGCAGGGGGCTTCGGTAGGTGTGGGCCAGCCGGGCGACAGTGTTCTGGTGGACGCTGCAGTGGCTCTCCCGCCCAGCTGCAAGGAAGTGAGAGAGAGCTTCAGGCTGCAGCCCCACGCTTAGGGAGCTATGTGCTGACAGCTTGTCATTTATGGATCTACAGACTGCTTGGTCCATACTTAGGGCTGGGATGCAAGAAGCCCTGGCCACTAGTTCACTTCCCACCGAACCCCGGGTCTCAGTGACAGTTCTGTGTCACCTTTTCCAGGTACGCAGGAAGGCCAAAGGTGTTCAGGGTGCTTGGTGCGTGCTGCGATCTCCTCTTCTACAAAATGAGGGGAGACAGGGCTGCCGCCCACTGAGCTCCCCGAGTGGATGAAGTAACGTTTCCGTGCTTACTGAGAGTGGTCTGTGTGCAGCCGTCCCCAGCTGGCCACACATCCCCAGAGCTGGGGACACTGAGTTCTGAGGTACAAGTGGGGGAGAGGAGGACTTAAAGAGGAAAAAAGGACTGAGAGAAGCCACGTGGGCTCAGCAGCGGCCGGGTCCTGGAGCTGCTGGCCATGTGGGGCTCGGTCCTGGAGCTGGCGGCCATGTAGGGCTCAGCAGGGGCCGGGTCCTGGAGCTGGTGGCCATGTGGGGCTCGGTCCTGGAGCTGGCGGCCACATGGGGCTCAGCAAGGGCCGGGTCCTGGAGCTTGCGGCCATGTGGGGCTCAGCAAGGGCCGGGTCCTGGAGCTGGCGGCCACATGGGGCTCAGCAGCGGCCAGGTCCTGGAGCTGGCGGCCATGTAGGGCTCAGCAAGGGCCGGGTCCTGGAGCTGGTGGCCACGTGGGGCTCAGCAGGGGCCGGGTCTTGGAGCTGGCAGCCAAGTGTGCAGCCAGGTGTGGGGGCCGTGGACAAGTCACTCAAGCTCAGCTGTGACGTGTGACTCTCAGCTCAGAGATGAATGTTAAACACCAGGCAACTACTGCTAGTGCCTGGCACCCGGGAGAGCGAGGTGAAGGTTAGCCTGGGTCATCGCCACGGTTACAAAGTCTCCCCAACCATGTCAGAGGTGACCCAAAGAATGAGTAAGAGGAAGTGAGAGTAGACAAGAAGGCGGAGGCCAGACTGCTTAAAGTACCGCATTTCTTCCGAGGAGTCTGGATCTTAAGCATGGGGAGTCACGCAGGGACCCCTGGACGCTGGAGATGGTCCCCAGCCACGGCGCTCCCCCACCCCCCGGCTGGGTGGACGACAGTCAATCAGGGTTGCACTTACCGCCGGTGGCAAGGAAGCACACCTTCCCCAGGAAGTAGCTGGCGTCCACGTGGCACAGGGACTTCTCCACGTTCTGGAGGCTGGGGCAAGAACAGGCACCGGAGGACATCACGTCACCTCTCAAGCACTAGCCGCCCTCCTCCGACCCCATGGGGGACCGAGAGCGAGGGCGGGGACGCAGCACACAGCCCCTGGTCCTGTCAACTACCTCGAATTACAAAGTGAGTCACACTTGCAAAAGAATCGGACGATGAACGTGGATGCAAATAGGGAAGGCACGAGTGCCCCTCGCAGCACCCCCGGAGCTGCCCGCAGTTTGGGGTGCAATGCTGGGATTTTTAAATTTTATTTGCAAATAGGCAGTGGTATGTGTGGCTTCCACGCGTGCATCCATACGCCTTTGGACCAGAACACATCAATCGGCCACACCCTGCAGGGCGCCCACGCAATCTGCCACAGGTGTGGTCCCAAGGGACAGGTGTATAATGATCTCCCATTCTCACTGTCACAAAAGGACACATCCGTGTCCAACCAAGTGTCAGGACAGATCCTGGAAGTGGGTCTGCTGGGTCAACAGTGCACGTTGCAACTTGCATTCCTCGTTATTTACAGCAGTTTATCAATTGCAGGAAATGCTCCTTCCCGTCCGGGCAAGGCTCTCATTTCCGCTGGGGCCCAGGCACTCCCCAGATCTGCCCCAGCACCCAGGACGACTTGCCTGAGGACCTGCTGGCCTGCGGGCTCCTGTGGCTCCCAGCCCTAGCTCCTGCACGTGCCTGTGTGGCTGCTCTGGGCTCTCGCTGGCCCTGTGGCTTGCCTGCCTCAGTGGGCTGTCCCCACCTTCTCATCTCCGAGGCCTTGAGTTACACGTGACCTTCACCACAAAGCTGACCCAGTCCTGGCCATCAGAGGTCTTGGGTTGGTCTGGCAGGGTCTGCCGGCCCGTAACCCCGGCCTCCAGCTCTCACCTGTATTTGCTGTGAAGGTTAATCACAAACACGACCAGGTCAATCCGGGGCCGACTCAGACTGGAGGGCAGAGGGAGGGACATGGCCAGGTGGCTGGAACACAGACAAATCACGGGACTGAAGACACAGAGACCTCCCTCACAGGCGCGGGCTCGCTGGCCTGCACAGAGGAACAGGTGGCTCGGACTTCTCTGCTCTCACCTGCCTCTCCTGTGGGTGGAGCCAGGCCTGGCCAGAACACTCCTGATGCCTCTGCCCACCAGGGTGTGCTGGGGTCCGTGCAGTAGGTATGGATGACACGAAGGTGTGAAGAGAACAGCTCCCTGCTTGGCAGGGCCTGGGGAGCTTCCAGCAGTTTGGCAGGGCCCGGCGATTTCTCTCTGACCACCTTGATGCAATCTCACCCCGTTTGCATGGACACTCAAGTATCCCACTAAGAATTCTGTACTCTATTGAGGCATTGTTTGCCCCTGTGAGATGGCTTTGGCAACTACTGTGAGCTTAAGAGTTAATGTTATTGATGTCTTGGTGAGTGGGCCTTTAACTGCGCACAGGAGTACAATTAAACCTACAATTAAACCCATGCCATTTCTGGACACCTTATTGTGTGCCTACCCATTGCCCTGAAATCGGGCCCAGACATATAGCATGCCTTCTGGGAAACGGCTTAACAAGAATCTTACAAACTAATGGAAGTGATGGGAGTATGAGCTGAAACTGCTATGGCAAAAATATAGTTGCTGTGACCTTAAAGGTTAACCTGTCCTTACAACTCTTTAGAGCATAGAAAATGTAGCTGCTTTAGCCGCTTTCATAATCTTTTAACTAGAGGAAATATAGGATGATTCTATTAACATCACAGAGATATACTTTTGATTATTGTTTGATTGCTTATGAGGCGGTAGAGCCTGCAGTCGTAGGGGGATTTAATGTTTGAAACTTTTTGTCTTAGACCCTTATATTTTTTCTCTTTTGATGTATTTCTCCCATTATGTGATAGATAAAGTTGTGAAAATAAAATGCAGCAGGAATGTTTTACTGATTAGTAGGCAACCATCTGTGCCTTGGCCTTGGAGTTCTGGCTGTCACCTAGTGGCCACTTCTGAAGAATGAATAACAGCTTGCTTTAAAGAAACTGATTATAGTAACTTACAGAATTATCTTTAAGAGCACCTGGTTGACCATGAAGTAAAAATTAATTGAACATCTGTGCATGCTGTCTTAGTTCTAAAGTAAAAGATAAAAAATCAAATGTTTGTGCAGAGGTTTGTGATGTGTCTAAGAAAATAAAAAGAACAGCTTCTTCTTGAAAAAGAGGCAAGCAAGAAGCAAGGAGGCAGCAAAAACGCAACAAGTGTCTGTGTCTTTTCTTTATCGCCGACTCCACGCACCCTTCCCGAGCTCCGAACTCAGCTGGAGCTGGACTCTGGCAAGGGTGCAAGCTCAGTGACCACCTTGGAGGGTGGGCATCTGGGGAAGGAGCTGGCCCAGAGCTGCCCAGCTACAGGGACTGGAGGAAGAGGGGTGTGTGTCTGTGATACCCTGGAGCTTTATGGGTGTGTGTGTGTTATCCTGGAGCCATATGGAGGGAAACCCGCCTCACAGGTTCAAATCCCAGTTTTAGGGCCTGGCAGCGTGGCCTAGCAGCTAAAGTCCTCGCCCTGAACGCGCCGGGATCCCATATGGGCGCCGGTTCTAGTCCTGGCAGCCCCGCTTTTCATCCAGCTCCCTGCTTGTGGCCTAGGAAAGCAGTCAAGGACAGCCCAAAGCTTTGGGACCCTGCACCCATGTAGGAGACCTGGAAGAAGCTCCTGGTTCCAGACTTTGGATCGGCGCAGGACCGGCCGTTGCGCTCACTTGGGGAGTGAGTCAACAGATGGCAGATCTTCCTCTCTCTCCTCCTCTCTGTACATCTGACTTTGTAATAAAAAATAAAATAAATCTTAAAAAAAAAAAAAGAAAAAAAAAAAACCCAACCAGGGCCCGGCGCGGTGGCGCAGTGGTTAAAGTCCTTGCCTTGCATGCCCGGGATCCCATATGGGCGCCGGTTCCAATCCTGGCAGCCCCGCTTCCCATCCAGCTCCCTGCCTAAGGTCCAGGAAAGCAGTGGAGGACGGCCCAAAGCTTTGGGACCCTGCACCTGCGTGGGAGACCTGGAAGAAGCTCCTGGCTTCAGATTGGCTCAGCTCCAGCCGTTGAGGCCGCCTGGGGAGTGAATCATCGGACGGAAGATCTTCCTCTCTGTCTCTCCTCTCTGTATATCCGCCTTTCCAATAAAAATAAAATAAATCTTTACCCACACAGTCACCTAAAGTTTAGAATACTTTTCCCACGTAGCAATGCCTTAAGAAAAAAAAAATTTTTTTTTTTTTAATTGGAAAGTCAGATACAGAGAAAGACAGAATGGAAGATCTTCTATCTGCTGATTCGCTCCCCAAGCAGCTACAATGGCTGGAGTTGAGCCGATCCGAAGTCAGTAGCCAGGAGCTTCTTCTGGGTCTCCCACACGGGTGCAGGGTCCCAAGGCTTTGGATTGCTCTACTGCTTTCCCAGGCCACAAGAAGGGATCTGGATGGGAAGTGGGGCTGCTGGGATTAGAACCAATGCCCATATGGGATCCCGGTGCATGTAAGGTGAAGACTTTAGCTGCTAGGCTACTGCACTGGGCCTGCCCTTTTTTTTTTTTTAAGTTTAAGGTTTATTCTATTGATTTGCAAGGCAGAGTTAGTGAAAGCTGGCGGGAGGAGACAGAGGCGGAGCGAGATCTTCCATCCGCTGGTTCATTCCCCAAATGGACATGATGGCGAAATGGGCTGGTTGGAAGGCAGGAGCCTCCTCCAGATCTACCCGCAGGGACCCGGGCACTGTGGGGGGTCATTTCTTTTGAAAGATAAAGAGCCAGAGAGCCCTCCCACCAGGTTCACTTCCCAAATGTCCCTAATTGGCTGGGCCTGGTCACAGCCAGGAGCCCGAGCACTGGAGCCAGCAGCACCTGCTGCCTGTCAGGGTGCGGGCGAGCTGGCATCCCAGGCTGTCCGCCGCTGTGCACAGCCTCCCGCGGCCATGGACGGGCACGCCCGGAGCAGGCAGCTGCCCCTCGCCGCCCACTCCTCCCCGGCTACTTACACCCTCAGCTCGGAGGTGCAGTTCTTCTGCAGCATCGAGTCCGCCAGCTGCTGCAGCACAGCGTCGTCCGTGCCCACCAGCTGCCCGGGGAGAGAAGGCGCCCAGCTGAGGCCCGGCCCCTGCGGCCTCGGCGCTCCTCGGGGGGATCCGACCGCACGTCGTCCCAGGCGGCTCGGGCAGCGCCATGTCCCGTGAGGAGGCCCGGGCTGGGCACCCGAGGTGGGCACACCTGCGGACCCCCTCTCCCGCCAAGGACAAAAGGGCCGCACTATTGGTGGGTGCGTCCGCCCGTCTCACACGGCCGCTGTTCCGATTGGCTCAGAGCGCGGCTTGCCCGCCCCCCGTGGAAGGGTTCCCTCCCGGCACCTCAGAGCCCGGCGATCGGGGCGCCTGAGGCGCGGGCCCGGAAGCAAGGCAGGCTGGGAACTCGGGGCAGCCCGCACCTACCAAGACGGTGGCCGTGTTCAGGCCCGGCAGCTTGTCCAGCGGCCTTAACACCGACATCGCAGCCGCCGCCCTAGCGCCGGGCGCCCGGCATTCAAACTGCCTCGAGTCCCGCTCCTCTGGGACGTCAGACGGCACGTGCGTCGGTGTGGGCGGGGCTTCGAAGGCGGGGCGCGACCCTCTTAAAGGGACCGCTTTCTCCCAGGTGGGCGCGTCCTGCGCTGGTTCCAGGCCCCCAGCGTGCTGGACAGTGGGCAGCTGCGGTGATGGAGTCCCTCACGCTCGTCCGTTCGTGCTCGGTCCCTTTCAGACCTGCCCCATTTCAGCTCCATCCCTGCAGCTGCTCAGAACACACTGTTGGGGTCAGGGGCCAGCGCTGTGGAGTCTGGCGGCATGCTTGGGAAACCAGGGGATGGCAAGGGTGCTTTGGTCCTGCGCCCATGTGGGAGACCCTGAAGAAGCCCCTGGCTGCGGACCAATCCAGCTCTGCCCATCTGGCCGTCTGTGGAGTGAAACAGCGGTTGAAGATCTCTATCTTTCCAGCTCTAACTCAGCCTTGCAAATTATATATATATATATATAATATTTAAGACCCTGTTGCTTTTTGTTATTGTTTGTTTTAAATATTTTTTTAAATTGGAAAGTCAGATATACAGAGAGGAGACACAGAGAGGAAGATCTTCTATCCGATGATTAACTCCCCAGGTGACCAAGTTGAGCCAATCCGAAGCCAAGAGCCAGGAGCCTCTTCTGGGTCTCCCACACGGGTCCAGGGTCCCAAGGCTTTGGGCCGTCCTCAACTGCTTTCCCAGGCCATAAGTTGGCCTACCTCTTGCAGCACCACAGCCAGGACCAAGCCACCATCCTCTGGCACTGTTCCAGCCCCTTCTAACTGGTGGCAGCTGCGGCCAGACACCAACTGGAGTGGAAATCAGAGCCGGCCACATGCACCTCTCACCCAACTTGCTGGCAGTTTGCCACACTCAGCGGCCACTGACTGCTCCCACAGTGCCCCCAGTGTCCTCTGGCCTTGGGACCTGAGCAGGTGCTGTCCCCTCTCGTTTACAGCCCCATGTGGCCTGGCCAAAGGGCCTTTCTGTTTTTATCTGAGAGAGGGTTTTCATCTAGCAGACTCAGCCAGGGCTGGATTGGGACATGTGTGTTCAACCCAAGTCTCCCCCGTGGGTGACGGGAACTCCGTGGCTTCGGCTGGCACCGTCTCCCAGGGTTTGCAGTGGTGGGAAGCTGGAGGCAGGGCGCAGAGCTGGGTGTCCAACCCCTGGCACAGCCAGAGTGGCCGTTCCTAATGACCCTGTCAGGTAGCAAGCTGTTCCCCACGCCCCAGTGAACCCTCTGTGTTCCTGGTCTGTTTGCCGCATGGCACTGCTCTCCCAGTGTGCGGTGTCACAGGCCTGGCATGTGGCTAAGCAACCGTGCCTGTGGTGCCTGCATCCCATACTGTCACTGGTTCAAGTCCCAGCTGCCCCACTTCTGATCCAGCTCCCTGCGAACACACTGGGGATGGCAGGGGAAGGTGGCATAGGGGCTCGGGCCCTGGATGCACGTGGGAGTCGTGGAAGAAGCTCCTGGCTTTTATCCGGCCCCACCCTGGCCATATGGCCACCTGGGGAGAGAACCAGTGGATGAAAGATTCTCTCTATCTCCACCTCTTACTTAATCCTTTTCTTTTTTTTTTTTTTTTAAGAAACTGTACTGTACCTGAGACTTTTATTCCACTTACCAACTAACAAATAACAGGCTTCTATTGTTTTGTGGAAGTTTTGTGTCAGAAGACATAAAACTAAGAAACAAAGGGCTTTTGTGATTAACCATATATAGATAGGCTTCATGTGCGCATCGGTTCCCCTGGGACTCTGGAATTCCACCGAAGGCCCCTCATGGATGCCAGCTCACAGAGCAGGTGGCACTGCAGGAGAGAAACTCCAAGACACCATCTTGCTCCATGAATGTTCACCAGTGGCAGGGCCTGCAGGGCCCGCTGGGTCGGTGTTGTTTCAGACGGGCTCCGTGGGACGTGAGGGAGTGGGGCCGGAAGCTGCCATTAGTGGAAACCACGTGGCATTGTGACTGTTATACATGACGCCTGCCCACAGCGTTTAAACGATGCCACAGGCATAGCAGATGTGCCAGGGGCTGAGGCACACACTTTTCTACAGCAAGTTTCGTCCCGCGCCTTAGGGATCCCGCCCCAGCTGCTCTGTGCCCCCCCTGCATCCAACCACAGCCTAGAGGTGGGGTCTCCGGGGAGCCCTCTGCTGAATCTACTGGCTTTATGAGAAGAGGGAGGGGCAGCAGACAGACGCAGGGTCCGTGTGTCTTACTGCGGAATGCCTAGTGCCACTTGGTCTCTGGCAGCAGGCAGACTCCTGTCGCTCCACCTTGCAAACCCAGAACCACAAGTCAAAAGAAACCTCTCCGTTCTTAACCACCTAGCCTGCCTCGGGAAGCTCGTGTTAGCAGCAAACTGAGTTTTGCTCATGATTGTCTCACACTGCAAACAGCCCAGATGCCCTTCAGTGGTGACCACCACGGCCATGTGGATCCACGGGACAGCGTGCCTGAGTGTCGGAGGCATCACAGGAGGGCACCATCTACACGGGATGGCTTGCGAGCACAGGCTGGTGATTGGATTCAGACGAGCTGGTGCCCGTGGGGAGAGAGTACTGACTGATAAAAGGCACTAAGGAACTCTGCAGGGAGATGGAAAGATTCTATACCATGGATCCCGGCTGCTCCACTTCCCATCCAGCTCCCTGCTTGTGGCCTGGGAAGGGAGGGGAGGAGGCCCAAAGCCTGGGAGACCTGGAAGAAGCTCCTGGCTCCTGGCTTAGACTCAGTTCAGCTCTAGTTGTTGCAACCACTTGGGGAGTGGACCAGTAAATGGAAGATCTTTCTCTCTCTCTCTCTCCTTCTCACTGTTGACCTGACTTTCCAACAGAAATAATAAATCTTTTTTAAAAATCCTATACTTCGATCTGGACAGTGCACGCACAGCCCCAAATTCACCACTTACATTTATGCACCTTAATTAAAAACAAAACTCCCCCTGTGAACGCAGACTCGTCCCTGGACTGTGCAGGCATGGACAGGACCCCAACGCTCGCAGGCCCCCCCTGTGGTTGCACAGCCTGCAGGGAGGAGGGCTGAGAGCCCCAGCACCGCCTAGCCCAGAGCCGTTTGCACCTGCCTGTCATCAGGTATCTGTGTGAACTTCCTGTGGAGCTGGTTCCTGCCGGTCTCCCCTGCCACAGCCCAGGTGGGCCCCCAATCCTGGACCAGCCCGGAGGGCCTCACGAGGTGCTGTGTGGCATCATGCGTGTTGGGAGCCATGACTACTGGGGCCCTTCCCCAGCCAGGGGAGCCACAAGGCTGGTACATCAGGAGGATTGGTTCTTTGGGAGCCCAAGGGCCAGGCTGGAGCTGCAAGCTGGTCTTGTTGCTTTCCTGCTGTGTGACCTGAGATGAGCCCTATTAGTGAGATGCTGAGAACAGTGTCTGGTGCTGACTAAAGGCTCCTTGGAGCCAGTGCCTCTAGACTCTCAGAGCTGCCCACTGCTGCTGGGTCTCCCCCACTTGCCAGGGACCCCACTCTGCCTGCTCCCGGTTAGTAGCCAGTATTCTCTTCTCTCTGGACCCGCCAGCCTCAGACTCTGGGGAGTTGGCCCAGCTGACTCTCATCCTGCCCTCTCTGTCATCTGCTGTACCACGTGCACAGGGGGAGGGATCCAGAAGAGAAGGCTGGTTGCCAGGGCAACGGAAGAGCAAGCGTTTGCTCTCTTAGGCTGCTGATTGGTTGAGACAGGTTCCACCCCCTGTCATCCTGCCGGGGTCGCGGGTGGGTGGGGGCGGTAGAGGGAAGGGTCTCCTTTGGGTAGGGAGAGGTACCAGGGTGCTGAGCGGTCCAGCACTGCCCCCTCCTGGTCTATTCTGGGCTCCGGGGCCTGAGATGCTCCGTCGCCCGTGGAGGGCATTGGCGTCACCCTGTCTTGGCTTCCAGCACCCAAGGTGGCTGCAGATGGCCGTGTCTCTGGGGACAGCAGCTGCGGCTGAGTCCAGAGGCTGCCGGGGAGCTGCTCAGGCGTCTGCCAGGGTGTAAGGTGGGTCTGCGGGAAATAGGGGGGGTGGTCACAAGTGGTGCCAACAACTTGGGCAGCTTCAAGCTCTATGCTGTCCCAGACAGACCTGGGCCGAGACGGCTGGGAGAGGCCTCCTGACCATCTGCAGGCTCTCATGCTGCCCTGGCGCTATGCAGCGTGGACCCTGAGCCCGGGGAGGGTGCCTGGCCCCCCGGCTGGCGCATGTTTTGTTGTCTATGCTGCACTCCCGGGAAGCCAGAAGGACGCCTGGTGGGTGCTCGGTCAGCCCAGGATGCCTGAAATGTGTTCACGGGGCTGTGGGGGTGGGGACCTCCTGAACTTCACTCCTCAGGGCAGTGTTGCAGGCGACATGGCTTCTGTGGTGCCCCAGCCCCTGCTCTCACATATAAGCAAGGATAGCGGGGTCCTGAAGGGGCCGGGTGGCTTGGCGGGGGCACACATCCCTTGTGTTTCAGTCATGCCAAGTCGGATCAGACTTCCGGCCTGCGGAGGCCCTCGTTGCCACTGCAACTTCCCCAGTGTCTCTTAGGCTCTGGGAAGGGCAGGTGGGTAGGAGGGTGCAGGCTCCCCCACCCCTTCTGTGTGCGACCATGACTTTGGACGCTCAGTGTACTCCGCGTCTGTCTTGCTGTGTGAGGAGGGCACCTTGGTATGTTGTCTGGGCTCCACAGAAACCAGTGGGCGGGCAGGGAAACAGCCTCCTCCTGCTACGGTCACAGTCCACCAGGGGGTAGGCGGACAAGAGCAGTGGGGCTTGCAGGCTGAGGTCACACTGCTGGGGACTTCTCTCCCAGAGCCCAAGGCCAGCTTCCGCTCATTTCTTCTCACTCACCTTCCCCTGCTTGCCCTGCAGAATTCAGGTCGCTTCCTGGGGTGGTTAGGGGGACTGGGGAGCAGCTGGGGCACCCAGGACATGTTGGTGGTCCTGCCTGGGTCTCCGTTTCTCAGCCATGAAGTGTGTGCAGTGATGCTGACC